ATCAAATACGCTAAACTGGACCCCTTTTCCAACATTAAGCTGTGCACACATTAAATCAAATCAATCTGCCAAACTAAAATCATCATAATTTGTAGAATATGCATATCTATCTGACAAGTATATGGTCTCTACCTTGTGAGTATCCAATAGTCTTCCTACATAGCGGGTCCCTTCATGACTAATTGAAACTCCGTACTCATGTGTGCGGAGTTTGAATTTATTCCAGAAGAATACTGAAACACTTGGTCATTTGATTTACTGGATGTTCTAGGCCGGAGAAGTCTGAGCTGAAGAGGTCCATGGACTGGTCTATGGGACTGAAATATAGGGTTAGGGGTCTGCACGAACCTTGCGTTGCCCGTGTCGCCGCCAAACCTAACAAAGAAAAGAAGCAAAAGAAAGAGGTAGTATAAACGATGTACCTTCGTTCCTCAGGCATCGTAATCAACACATGGTATATTGATACAGGTAAATATAAGCACCACCCAGCTCAACAACAATAAGCTATCCAACCGAAAGATATATTTTCCCAAAGAAAAATTAGAGAAATGATGCAAACAGTGGGGAGATTCTGTCAAAAACAACATTGATGGCCTCAGTAATGGATACCTGTGAGGGTGACTTGTGTAGAACCACAAAAAGTGTGATAGCAAAGGCCATTCAGGCAGGAAGAACAAGTAAGGTTAAGAAGCCGACCAGTCCGATTATATTGGTCCAAATTTGCCTTCGGACGGTATCGGGCGTGGGCCTTTGGCTCTTAGCAGATGTCTGCGCTGACGGCCAGACCTCGGCCATATTTTAGATTTGGGTATTACCACGCTCAATTGCCTCGAGCTGATGGGGAGGTAAGGGCATTCAGTAGTTAAACTTATGAGTAACCTACATAAAGATCAACGCACCCGTTTGAGTATTCCTTCAAGTTGGACTAACAGGCTCGCAAACTCAAGGTAGTCGAGGCCTTGGTATAAGGCTAGAGATAATGGTGGGGATATATAGGTGCTACTTAGCAATACGTCTCAGCACTTACTGTGGCAAAAATAAGTATTGCCCGCGCCACCCTGCGTGGAGATTTAGAACCTTGTTTTGTCAATGACAATGGATGGATTCCATTTTTTATTTACATCATCTAAGAGGTATATAGGAACTGTGCAAGCATACCCATCACTTTGGGCATCTTGCTGTAACTTTGTAGAAAGAAATATGAAAGAACCCTGTTTTGACTATGGGGATGAAACATTTTATTATAGGCTATGGAATGCATGTTTCCTCTTAGTATAGAATATAGGAATACACCTTAGACTATGTAGTATCAGTTTACGACTTTCTCCAGAATTCTTTACCATGGTGGACAAAAGCACGCCAGGGTATACAAGGAGGTGCAACTCTCTGTAGAACACATAAATATTACAGAGCTTGAGATGTATGGCAAGAGGTCAAATTTGGCATTGTATCATGAGTATACTAGGATAATCTATATATTGCATGGAGAGTGATAGCACCAACTCCAATAGTTCATATTTTCGGGGGGGTATGTGGGCCACACCTAGCGGCACCCCCTCTATATACCCTGGTGTACTTTTGTGCACCCTGAGCCAAAATTCTCCTCAACTTCATGATAGGATACTACAGTATCTAAGATGTGTACCCATATTTAAACTGAGAGAAAATATCCACTTTGTATCCTACAATAAAATGTTTCACTCACATTGTCAAAACAGGGTTTTTTCAAATTTCTTCTTACGATAATACAGCAAGATACCTAAAGTAGTGGGTATGATTTCACGGTCTCCATATGTATCTTGAGTGATGCAAATAAAAGATGGAATTCATCCGTTGTCGCTGAAAAAATGAGGTTCTAAATCTCCACCCAGGGTAGCACAAGGGTGGCGTGGGCAATACTTTTGTTCGCCACAGTATACAAAAGGTCTTACGCTTACCGGGTTGGGTCTCCAACAAGAGGTCCCTCAGACGCTCGTGGAACTCTGGAAGCGCGAAGCTGTGTGCAAACAGGTTGATATCGCCGCCTGGAGGAAGACACGCACAATGTTAGAGAGATGAAGAATATCAAGGACTAAATAAACCCCACCGAAGCGGACACTATTGGAGGTTTGGAACTTGTGGTGTCATGACCTTTCGTCATTTTCATCCTCTTTCTATTATTTCCTGGTGTGTGCCATAGTTAGGCCACACTTTTCCGAGTTTCTGTGGCCTGGGTTTGGTTGTGTTTAGTTCTGGCTAGTATACAAACCTACCTACTTCCTGTTTTGTACTCTAGTCTTGAGATCGTCAATCCCCCCCCCCTATACAACCTTTTCCTCGCCCTTGGTGTGTGTTTCTGAGTGAGAGATTGCCTGCCAGCAACCCCTCTTGTAGGATATG